AGCCTGACACCCGGTCTGTGGCCAGTGTGTGGTCGAGGCCCAAGCTGTGACCCTGGATGACTTGGCAGTGGCCTTCACAGGCCCAGCCAAGCACATGGCTTTGTTTATTCAGGAATTTATAGGCAGTCCCAGGTTAAGCATGAGATTCACTCCTAAGTCTGTTTTTGTTTATCCAGGAATTTATTTACGTAAGAGGGATGTTGGAAAAGGCCCCTACGCCACAACTGGGGACCTTGGAGAAGGGTACAGAGCCTGTCTCCACTTCTGTCTGGAAACAGGGATTTGAGTCCTCCCTGGATCCCCTGGGAGTCCTGGAGTCTCCCCACCCATGTTTCTGAGCAAGGGATTAGGGTGTGTGTCTGTGTATGTGAGTGTGTGTGTGTATGTCTCCGGGTGGCCAGACGTCCTGCCTTTCTTGCTGCAGCCACTGTTCAAAAGGTTCACGCAGACCCGCTGGGCCGCCCCTACAGAGATCCTGGAGGACATCCTTGCCGCTGTGGACCAGAGGCTGCCTGAGTTCTCAGAACTACAAGACTGCTTCCGGGAGGTGAGGGGCCCCGCCTGATGGCTGACGGACAGGGTCAGCTCTGACATCCACACGATCACACACATGCAGACACACATGAGCCCAGGTGCATATATGCACTGGGCTTGAGGCTGGGTGGACGGGGCCAGCCATGATGTCCACGCAATCACACACATACTCACATGAGCCCATGCACACATATGTGGTGGGCTGATGGTTGGATGGGTGAGGACAGCCCTGACGCCCATGCAATCACACACATATATGCATGAGCCCATGCACATGTATATGCTGGGCTGGTGGCTGGGTGGACAGGGCCAACCGTGACATTCACACTATCACATGCACGCATAGACACTGAGCCCATGCACACGTACATGCTGGGCTGGTGGCTGGGTGGACAGGGCAGCCGTGATATTCACACTTACCATATGCACGCATAGACACTGAGCCCATGCCGTGTACATGCTGGCCTGGTGGCTGGGCATGCAAGGCCAGCCCTGCCATCCATGTGATCATGTTGAACACACATGTGCACACAGACAAGTGCTCCTTCGCTCTGGACTCCCTTCTTGGTTTTGATGTCATGAGGCTTGGCTGGAGGTGGTGAGCTCCCCGTCAGCAGGGCTCACTCTACCCTGGCCACTTGCCCATCCAGGAGCTCATGGAGGCTGTGCACCTGCACCTGGTGAAGGAGTACATCATCCGCCTCAGCAAGAAGCGCGTGGTCCTCAAGTCGGCCGAGCAGCAGCAGCACCTGGCGGGACACATCCTCAACAACGCTGACCTCATCCAGAGCTTCTGCGCTCAGAACGTAAGCCATCCGTCTGCCCTCTTGGGCCCCATCAGGCTCAGGACAGCCTCTCGGGACCCTTGTGGGCCCTGGTGCCCTGGGAAGAGGGGCAGCCTCCCACCAACAAGGCCTGTGTCTGCAGGGCTCCCGTGCCACCTGGCTGGATCCTGCCCTCCCCAAGCTGGCCGAGATCATTCGCCTGCAAGACCCCAATGCCATCAAGATTGAGGTGGCCACTTATGCCAGCTTGTACCCCGACTTCAGGTGAGAATGGGGATTACCAGAGGACCTCAAAAGTCAGCATGCTCCTGCCTGACTGCACTGTCTGTGGTCAGAGCATTGGCGGGCTGAAATCAGTGGACTTCAGGCCCATGGAGCTCAGACACTGGGCCTGACAACACAGTTGTCAGGGATTCATTCATGTGATGCTCACCACAACCATATGAGGCCAGTGCTTCTGTCTTCATGTCGCAGTCGCGGCCTGGAGAGCTTACAGAGCATGGCCAAGGTGGTACAGCCAGTCAGCAGTGGAGCCAAGATTACCCAGCCAGGCAGTCTGACTCTACAACCCATGCTTTTAGCCTTTCAGAAGGGGAAACCAAGGCCAGAGAGATCAGGGACCTGCTAGAGGTTGTGGCATGTCAGTGTTGAAGCTGGCACCATCACTCAGCATAGGGGTCCTGGGCCCACATGCCCTGGGCCCTGGGGTGATCCTTCTTCTAGAGTTGAGGTTCGACCTCAGGCTGCCTGAGAGCCTGGTGAGGCAGGGAAAGTTTTTCTCCCTAGGCTGGGCTTTCTGACACGGTAGAGAAAGTTCAGACAGGCTTTGGGTTGGGTTGGGTTGACCCAGCTTAGCCTAGCCTGGCTCCTAACTAACCCATTCCACCCATCCACCCACCCACCCATTTGCTCATCCACCCATCTATCTATCCACCCTCTTACCTACATACTCATGCATTCACCCACCCATGGAACACCTACCCACCCATCTGCTCACTCATCCATCCAACCATCCATCCATCCATCCATCCATCCATCTATCCACTCACCTATCCATTCATCCACTGGCCCTTCCCACCAACAGTTAATAAGTGAGCTCTGCTAGGTGCTAATCCATCCATCCATCCATCTATCCACTCACCTATCCATTCATCCACTGGCCCTTCCCACCAACAGTTAATAAGTGAGCTCTGCTAGGTGCTAGGCTCTGCTCTAGGCACCGAGACACATCGAGGTATAAGAAGGCAGGGTCTCAGTCATCCCTCATATAGTTTACAGATTATTGAGGGTAAGCAATAGCAAGGTCATCAGACAATTGCAAACCTTCATCTGCAAGCCATAAGGAGGGTTATAACCAAGGTTGTGAATCAAAACAGGAGGCTCTGACTTCAGACAGGGAGCTGGATGGGCTTCATTGGGGAGATGACATTTTAGTTGAGACCTAAAGGTGAGAAGGGCCTCATCTCAAGAATTAGGGAAGAGCATTCCTGGAGGGCCAGCCAGTGCAAAGGCCTGAGGTGGACTGGGGCTTGACATGCTCTAGAGACCGGAAGGGTCAGTGTGGCTTGGGGTGTGGTGAGGGGTAGGCTGGCTGCAGGGTCCTGTGGCAGCGGCCAGGAGTTGGGGAAGCTGGGACAAGGTGGGAGCAGGGGTATTGATGACAGCCTGGGCTGACAGATGCTCTTCTTGCCAGCAAAGGCCACCTGAGCGCCATCCTGACCATCAAGGGGAATCTGTCGAGCAGTGAAGCCCGGAGCGTCCGAAGCATCCTGGATGTCAGCATTGGGTCGCATGAGTCTTCCCACCCCCTATTTTCACTTATAAATGTTGGTTAGCTTTTCGTCTGGCTTCAACTGCTTTGAGTGTCCTTGGTGCCATGTACCACACCACTTGGGGCCACCTGTCCAGACCATCGCTGGCTTGATGGCTTCTCCCAGGCTTCATCCTTCTGCTGCTGATTTTACCCAGCCCTGGGCAAGACTCAGGCCCCTGGATGGCTGAAACAGACAGGCCCCTGGGTCTTTTTGTCCAGTGGTGCAGGAGTGCCCATTGTGGGAAGCCGAGAAGCAGTGCTGAAGAAAAGACTTTGTTAATTGTAGTTCATGGTGTGTGCTTAAAAGGAGCGAGCTAGGCTGGAGAGTGTGGCCAGGGCTCAGGGACCCTGTGGCCACCTGCCATCCTGGAGACCTCCCATGGTGTGCCTTATAGAGGCCCTCTTCTTGAGTGGGTCTAAGTGTCCTTGCCAGTCCCCTGGGGAAGGGGCTGAGTCTCATCCTGTGTCCTACAGCCCAGGCAAGGTGAGCCGGGCTCAGCAAGTCTATGGATTGAAGGTGCAAGTGGAGGAGAAAGGCAGCAGAGCTCACATCTGGGGGCCTGGAAAGATCTTTAGATGCCCTTGGGAGGAAGAGGTTTGTTGGGTCACAGAGGGAATTGAGGACAGAGCCAGTGTCAGAACTTTGCTCCAGACCACCACTGGGGTCAGGCTGTGCCCTGAGCAGGCCTCCTACCACTCACGTCTCCCCCCGACCAAGGGAGGTCCTAGGTGGCCTTAGGGTCTACCTCACCTGGGCCACGGCCCCCTTGGTTCTCAGGATTACCTGCCCCTAAACAGGGACAGGCCCCAGAGATGCTCCACAGACCCTGTGACCGGAAGTCACCCCTCCTGAAGTGTGACTGTGGCCTGGGCCGGGGGATGGCAGACTTGCCCTCTGACTCCTCAGAGGCTGTTTTAGTTTTCTCTCGCTGCTATAGCAAATGACTACAAGCTGAGTAGTCATTAACAGAAGAGTTCTTACGGTTTGGAGGTCCGAAGTCTGAAATGGTCCCACTGGACTGGAATCCAGGTGTCAGCAGGGCTGTGTCTCTTCTGGAGGCTCAAGAAGAAAATCCATCTCCATGCCTTTTGCAGCTTCCAAAGGCCACTGCGTTCCTTGTCTCCAGGACTGATCCATCTTCGAAGGCAGCAGTGGGCCCAGTCCTCCCGCTGCCGTTTCTCTGGCCCCCTCTTCCACTGTTAAGCGTCCTTGTGATTACGTTGGCTCCTCCTGGACAACCCAAGATCACCTCTCCATTTTAAGGTCACCTGATTGTTGTTTCCAAGTCATAGCAACCCTATGGGACACAGTGGAACAGCCCCATAGAGTTTCCTAGGCTGCAAACTTTATGGGAGCAGATTGCCAGGTATTTTTTCCCATGGAGTCGGTGGTGGGTTTGAATAGCTGACCTTTCAGGAAGCCGCTGGGTGCTTAACTATTGCTCCCTGGTCACCTGATCAGCAACTTGAATCCCCCCCTTGCCATGAACTCTAACTTTCCTACAGGTTCTGGAAAATAGGACTTGGGCATCTCTGGGGCCGTTGTTCTGCCCAGCCCAACCTCCATCCCTCCCCTGCCCTCAGGGGCCCATCAGGTGGTGCACAGCACTGGGGGGGTCCCCCAAGGTCAGGCTCCTCCCTGGGCCAGAAAGCTCCCTCTCAGCCCAGGAGGGGGTGCTTTATGCCCCTGAGTGTGCCGGGGGGCTTTGGAGCTGGCACTGCTGGGTTTGTCCCCCTCTTCTCGGTACTGCCTATCAAAACCCAGCCAGGAAGTGGCCTATGTAACTGGTGCAGAGGCCCTTGTATATTTGTAAGTAGTTTGCGTGTTTGATGTCATTATTTTTGATAGTACTGTTTTACATGAGTGTACTCAGAATGGACCTGGGTTTCTAGAACTTGATAAAAAGTTGATTGTGAAAGTGGTTGTCAAGTGGCTTATTTTGGGAGGTGCAAACTGAAGATGGTTTGGGGGGCTTCTTTCCCTCAGCTAGGGGCATCCTTAGTGGCGCTCTTAGCCTCTTAGGTTCTGGGAGAACCCTGTCCTCCCAGGCTGTGTCCAGTCCCCGGCCTGCCCAGCCCCAGAGGCCTCTGGGATCTACACTCCCCTCTGAGTCTGAGCCTGGCGGGTCAGCCTGTGGCCACACCTCTGTCCCTCAGTTTCATCAGCTGTGAATTTGGATCCACACACAGCCCTTCACTGAGGATGACCACGGGGTGGGCTCCTCAACAGTCAGTCCCACTTCGTGCTGTAGGGGCCAGTGGGAACCAGCTCCAGCAGGGGGTGGTGGAGCCAGCCCCAGGATGGTGCTCCCAGCTCAGTGCTGGGCAGGGACTGCCACAGTATCCAGGGCTTTGGAGGGGGGTCCTCCTCCTCTCCACCCTCATTCTGGACAGAAATATGTGGAGAGTGCAGCCCTAAGGGGGGAAGGGGTAACCCTCTACAAGGCCGAGGAAGAGCCCCCAAGGGAACAGTGTACAGAGTCTGGTGTCCAGTCAGAAGGGCCTGAATGGGAAGGAGACTGGATCCTCCATCCCTGAGCCGAGGGGATGGAGGCCATTGCAGAATGGGAACAAGGAGGAAGGGGGAGCAGCCAGTCACGGGCAGAAGGACCTGAAGGGGTGGAGCTAACACTGCAGGAAAGTCCTGTAAGGGAGAAGGTCTCCCGGGGGCAGGAAAGGGTGCTGGGTCATGGGGCCTTGGGTGACGTAAAGAACCGCTATACTGATTGCGGGAGTGAGTGAGTCCAAAGACAGGAGGCTCCAGGCACAAAGGGTGTTGGAAGTGCTGCAGCTACTAGTTTATTATTATTATTATTATTATTTTATTA